AAACTGCTCCCAGTGCCAGTTTTACCAGCATTGGTCCCAGGAGCCTGACTGAAGTAAGTTGGGTTTGGGGGGAGGGACTGGCAATTGGGGAGGGGGGGGGCTAGTAGAAGGGAAGGTTCTCTCTCCCTGGGACAAGGGGCTATTTTTAGCCCCCCAACCCACCACACCCCCAGGTAAACAACCCCCTCTTCTCGAACCAACAGCTCCATCCTGCCCACCCTTCCCACCACCCAAACTTACTTCTTTGGCTTCTAGCACTAGTGAATTCTGTTAAAACTGGCACCAGGAGTGGCTTGTGGGTTCAGGCAGTTTGATGGGCTTGGGGGGTGGGATTGGCTGGTCCATCATGGGGGTGTTGTCTGCCTCAGGGTGGGGTAAAGAGCTTGGGGTGCTAAAAATAGCCCAGTGCTTGTGGTGGGGCGGGGAAAGAACTGCAGTCTAGGCTGGAGCCAGTGGCTGGGCTTTCCTAGCCCCAGGGCTGAGCTGGGAACTTTATGGAAGTTCAGTTAGATCAGTCTCTCTGGATCTGATTTAAATTAGACTACCCCTAAGTTAACTTACATTGGGTTGGCCATTTTTAGACTGAGCTAAACTTCCTGAACTTCTGTACAGCTCGCACTTAGGTCGACCTACCTAGGAATCTAAATTTAAGATCTACATTTGGGCAAACTAAGGTAGATTGGGTGGCCAGTTTTAATGTGGTGTAACCTCCTTCTAACCTCCCTGAATGTCTATCCTTAGCAGTGATCTTAACATTATTCTCCAATACCTTCCAACAACGCTTTTCGATTTGCAACTAGTTTTTTGGGGAAACTGAGGTGTTCTTGTTTGCATTCTGTGTCCTGGACCTAATTTTAGCCATTGGCATGTTAGCCAGTCCTATTAAAAGCCTTGTTTGAGTTTCATATTGGGAATGAAACCTGAAATCATGCAAATTCTGAAGCCTTCAAGTTTTTCGACATAGTCTTATGGAGATTTTTGACATAGTTCTCATCATGTTACTCAGACCAAGAAGCCCTGTGTTAGGCAAATATCTCATGGGCCAACTGCCCCACGGCATCTGTCCATATAAGCTGCCTGTAGAAAAACAGAAGTAGAGAATAAAAAGTTCTTACATATCTATTACCTTCTGATACACAAATGAATGTTATATATTTAAATGATAAATTTAGGTTTGGGTTTAATCTATCATTACCTGTATAGTTATCTCTGACAGAGATAGAAATAGTATGACTATCTAATTAAATAATAAGATGTGACAGGTGTAACTACTAGTGTTATAAAATATCACACTTCATAGGTTGCTATGAGTAGTTCCTCTGGGTCTGATTAATAAATAACAACTTTCAAGTTATTTTCTGGAGATTGAGAACCATCTGGAAGGAGCTGATGAACTTAGTCCCTTAAAACCAACTGGTCATTTGTCTTTAGGAAATGCCTGGCTAGTTCTTCTAATTGTTATTATAGAATGAAAATGAGGTAAGGGGAAAATGCTTATAGGTATATGGATTTTCTTTAAGGACAGTGCCATTTCAGCTTCTAGAGAATCAATGCCTTGTGCATTAGCCAATCTAATTACATTCTACCAGGTTATAATTTCCCAATCACCCACAAAGTATGGTAGGCTTTGGTGTCTTTCTAGCATTTCAGCTACACGTGAAATCACTTACTGTTTGCTGTGTGCCAGGTGGTTAGCATGGTATATTTACACTGTAACTTTTCTAGTGATTATTCGTTCTTGAAGAGTTCCAGTCAGCACCAAATCTAAGCTGTTTTATAATGTCCAATATTAATCTGCACGTACCAAGCCAACTTATAAAAATACACAGATTAGATGAGATAAAAGTTCAGCCATCTGGAGGTTGTGATTTTGCTTATGGTTTCTGCTGTCTATGTGCAATATTTCCTTATCCTGTTTTCATGTGAAATTGTTCTTGCCTTTGGCACTCTGACTATTTGGGTTGTATAGAGCCCTTATCAGCAAAAGCAATTTAGTAAGAGATGTAAATCATAGGCCATTTCAGCAGGAATGACTTAAAAAAAAACGTGAGTGGAAAACTGGTGTTAGGATTTAGCCCAGAGTTTGTGTCTAAGAGCTACAGCTCTTACTGAAATGAGTGGGAATTGCTAGTGCTCAATACTTCTATACATGCTGCTTCTTTGACCTTACTGTATCTGTTCCTTTCTTGTTCCCAAAGTTTCATTATATTCATTATGGTCCAAGGCCTGGGTATTCTGGGGGGGGACACAGGGCCCCATAAGCACCTTAAGAGATATGTTAGCTATATAGTGGGATGAAAGCAGCAGAGACCTCTTTCAGGGGAACTGCTTACCCTTTCATGGACTGTGGAAGAGATCTCTGGTTGTTTTCTCCAATTCAGCACGTAGAGGAGGATAGTGTGGTTGGCTTAGCAGTGCAGCTCCAATAGGTTATGACTACAGGTGATGCATGGAGGAAGCACGGGGGGCACATGCCCCCTGATTTCGGTGCCAGTGGTGGGGTGCAGGGCTGCAGCCCCGCCAGAGCCAGGGTCTGGCAGCAGTGAGGGTGGCAGAGGTGTGATATCTGTACTGATGGTGGGGCACAGGACTGCAGCCTGGCCCACCAGTAATGGGGGCAGTGGCAGTACTGTAGAGTAGTGCCTCCTGACTGTCAACACTTACACATTGTCTATGTCAGAGGTTTTCAACCTTTTAAAATAAGTATACCGCTGGTGGCTGGATGCAGAGTGGGGGGGGGGTGCGGTGCGTGGCCGGACCTGGAGCAGCAGTGGCACAGGGTGGTGCGTTGTGGTGGCGGCTGCCATGTGTGATCTTCCCCCCACTGCGTCTGGCCGGCCGGGTGGCACCTGAGTGGCCTGCAGAGGGGAACCGCTGCCTTCGCTCCCCCCACCCTAGTCCTGCTCCTGGGAGGCAGTGATGCGGGGTGGTGGGTGGTGGCGCTGTGTTCCTGCCTGCCCGTGCATACCCCCTAGAGCCTTTCCAAGTACCCCCAAGAGTGTGCGTACCCCTGGTTGACAACCCCTGTTCTTGTTCATGACTACAATGTACCCAGACATCTCACATTGTAGTAACAAGAAAAGGGCACATCTCGTCCTCTCCATCTCCTATCTTTTTGGAAATGTCTTACCTCCATAAATGTCCTGGTTTGAGCCAAGGATTTTGCCTTGAAACTTTTACTTATTGAGCAAAACCTTCTCCTTCTCTCATCTCATGGATTTGGTTTGATATAATATGATTATGGAGACTGGGGTGATTTCAGAAACAAATTACACAGCTGTTTTTCCTTATATCCAGTCATTCCTCCTACAGCGAAAGAGGCACAGCAAAACACATGCCATTTGCTGAACTGGGCCTTATTCCTGTGTACTGGAGTGATGTACGTTGCCATGGTGATGAAGAAAATATACTGTTATGTGAAAAAGACATCTGGCATGGTGGAACATGTCCTCAAAGAATGGCAGCTGCTGTCATGTGCAGCTTTTCCCAAGGTAATGTATACATTTATATTGGTTAACTTTTTACCTTATTTGAACAGAACTGTCATAATTGCACAAGATAATTTATTTAAAAAAATCTAAGTTGGATCTCTTGGAAGAGGAAATTAAATATAGATTCCATTATAGCACAATTCTTTCTTGTAAAACACTTGCCTCCACTATGAAAGCAGCAAATAGCTGCATCATTCTTAAAAACATATTTCTATATACTGAACACTAGGAGCACCAGATTAAAGACTCTGTGGCTTTAAAACACAGGTTGTGAGGAAGGGGCAGCTGTGCTGCAGTGGGAACCACTGAGAGGAATTCAAGTCAAAATAGTCAGATTTGTTTCAGAATGGAGGGAGGTATCTAAAAGTAACGGTACAGACAGGAGTGACGATTTGCTATATGGAACAGTTCCTTTGAGCCATGTGGCAGTGCTGTGGTCCTCCCATTGGATGGTATAGCACCCAAAACACTAATTAGAACAGCAGTTCTATTAATTAGTTCCATTGTGGATGTCCCTGCCCTAGGGTGCAAGGAAGTGGAAGTCTGTGTCCTTTATTCTACCTATGGTGCCCAAGCAGTGACAGACACATTTTTGCCCTGATGCTTCAGTACCTGTGAGGAATATTTTGATTTGACTTTTTGAAAAGTAAAGAGAGTTGTTTTGGTCCTTCTTACATTTGTATTTGAACATTATACCAGGAAATGTGGGTTGTGTTCCATTCAATTTATTTTGTAAATAAACTACTGAAGTAAGGAAAACAATATTTTTTCTAAGAGCCGAATGGCATTTTGCTATCAGCATCAGTGAAACAAAGATTTAACACCTTGTGCACATTCTGCATGCAAAACCCTTCACATCTGCTAGCAGAGTGGTTACCTCTGAACTCTACTATTGCAGCATATTTTTATGAAAAAGTATCATGTTTCTTTTAAATTTGTAACTATTTGCACAATATAAATCTGTTCCCTTCCCATGTCTCCTCAGAAATATATAATTTTAAAGGTAAGTCATATCTGGCATTTAAACAACCTTGCACATCTTTATTCAGAGCCAATTTTTCTTCCTTGCTTACGTTAGGTATTCTTTTTCATAGCTGTGGAAAGGAAGCCTTAAATAATTGTGCATATCATTTAGGACATTGGAGGGTGCCGGAGATGCTTACTGTGGAGTTGCCTAACTAGCTCTGCAGTAAACATCTCAGCATCTACACTTGCTGTGCTATTAGGATTGAGTTAACTAATTAACTTGTATTTACAAGTACTATCCCACTGCAGAGTTTTTCACTCTACAGCACTGCACGTGTAGACGCAGACCCGGCTGCCTGGGGCATGAGGGTACTTTGATGTGGGGGCAGCCTCCCAGCTAGGTCCACACTGAAGCACCGTTGTGCCCCATCCAGTCCCTCTACAGTACATTGGACACTTTTACACGTGCTCCAATGTGTTCTAATAAGAACATGTCAGAGCAGACTCGATTAATTGAGTTTGCTGGAGTGACACTCCAGCATGCTACAACATCTCATGTATTTGCCAGCCTGTGTTTCAAAATGGCATGCTTTAACTAAAGCTCATCAGAGCTGACCCCCTGGAGCCCCTTTCAGCCAGGGCTGTTCTGACCCAGCTCAATGTGCTTCGGTCCTAGGTGTATATTCACAGGGTGTGCCTAGGAACAATAAACTCTGGTGCGATATGCACTGGAATTTATTGCTCCACTTTAATTGCACATGTAGATGTGCCCAGGCACTTTTAAATACTTGGCTATATCTGCAGATCAGGTAGTTTAGAATATGAATGTTTGACCCTTATTATCATTTGCACAAGAAAAAGTAGTCAAATTTAAGCTCTATTTTTGTACTTAGTTACATTTTTTATTCGGGAGCTACTTTAAGACAATAATATAATAATGGCGATAGTAGTATGAACTACAACAGCAAGAACAAACAAATCATTGAAGAGTGTGTGTTTAGAATCCCACTTTCTTTTTTGCATCTAACCATGCTTTTACTCTTATCCTGCTTTCTCACATATAATTTGACTAAAGGTAAGATATGATCAGATTCTTTGCTGAGAAATCTAAAGCTAACACACTTATTGGAACCCCAGTCTCTTATACCTTATGTTCAGGATAGAGAAGAACTACTTTGGCAGCCCCAGGCTGACCAGTCTGTAGTGTGAGACCTCTCACAATCTTGATAGGAATGGATTACCTTCCAGTGGGAAGAGATAACACAGCCACCACCCTTGTTTATTTTTGTTAAGCTTTACCTAAGCAGAGGACTTCATATGAGCCTCTGTACATATTACCATCCATAGAATCTGTATTTCCCCTCAGAAAACATTCAGTTCTAATACTTTGATAAGACAGGAAGAAATACACATTTTGAAAAATCACAGTTCCCAGATCATCAAGCTTTCCTTTGTATTTAAACAGGTGAAAACCACTAAACAGTAGTTGTGCAAGGAGACCTCAGGCACCTCAGAGAAAAAAAGAGCTTTATCCATTTCAAAAGGAATCAAAACTCCTGGAAGAATAATGCCTTTTCTTAGGCCAACTAGATATTTGCAAACAAATTATTGTATTTGTCTGCAAGCTTTTGGGTGCACACACCCTTTATCAGGCAAAGGAGAGCAGAGATTGTAAACGTTCTCTTAGGTAGAAATGCAAATTCATATATCACAGGACAACTGAAGGTGTGGTAAAGTCTCCTGTTTGGAATAGTTCATTTTGTCCAGGTTAGGCACAGAGAAAGGTTGAAAGAGCATTTTACCTCAAAGTTGTTGGTTGGCAAGCTGGATATAGAGGCATATTTCCTTCAGGTTATGATGTTTCATATTTCACAGAAGACTGGAAAGATGGAAAGCTCTTCTGGGCAGGAGTTTCTTTTGTGGCGAGGTATCTGTGCTCTGTGAGATGCAAATTCACTCAAACAGTGGCAGGAGCCTGGTGTTAGCAGTTCAGATGGTAAAATGCTTCCTGTTTGTAGAAGTCAGTATTTCTGTTGGTAAACTGCTTCCTTCTGGTAAAATTATGAACTTTTCATTTCAAATAATGGCTAAAATTCAGTATCTTCCCCATGTCAGGTATCCAGGTTGTAGCTGTACTGATTTAGAGGCAAAAGGAATCAAAACTTGTGGAAGAGATTATATGTTGTTAGACCAAGTCGATATTTGCAAACAAATTATACGTACCGGATACCTTGTCCATTTCAAGAGTGCTGAAAGGAGGTTAAAGAGTCTTGGTAGCTGAAATAAGTCCATTCGGAGCCCCTGCTGATTAGGCAAAACAATGTCAAATGGCTTGTTTATTTTTCAGATTTTTGCTACTGCTAGCCTTTCCAAGTGACTCAACCCCCCCCACCC